TGTATTTGAAAATGCAACCTTACAAGCAGCACACATTGGCCAATACCTCTTTTCACAAATTAGCAGCAAGGTATTATGGTCCTTATAAAGTGTTAGAGAGAATTAGGGATGTAGCCTACAAATTGGAACTACCAATGGAAACAAAGATTAATAATGTCTTTCACATGTCTTTATTGAAGAAATACCAAGGCAACAAACCAATATTTGCTCACTTACTCCTACTGATTGAAGAAGGAGAGTTCCTGCCATAACCTCTAGCAGTATTAGACATATAAGAATTAAAAATAAAAATAATCAAGTTGTGAGTGAGGTTCTAATTCAATGGAGGGAGACAAATCCAAAGGATGCTGTGTGGAGAGAGCTACATGACATGCAAATTCAATTCCCAAACTTTGATTGGAGTTGCTAAAGGATGACCTTGAGGGCAAGTCCAATGTAGAAGGGAGGGACAATTGTAATAGATAAAAATAAGGGGTTGATATGTAAAAAAATAAATAAAAGTATTTTATGAGTCAAAATTAAAAAACCGTTATAATGATTATGATTTGTAGGCAGATAAAAATGAGAGACTATATAAGACCCTTTGTATATGACATTGAATATCATGAATAGAATTGTGATATCGTGTTCCTCTTCAACCTTCATTGTTGGGAGTGAGTGTTGTTAAGGATAATTGATATAATTTATATTGTATTTAACATTAGCTAACATGCAGAAAAAAAAATATATTAAAAAGTGTATTAGCTAAAGTTGAGAAGATTGTGCATGATTTCTTTTGGTAAAGTACTACCAATATCCAAATACTGTACATTGGGCATCTAACTAATTTGAGCTGTCAAGCTAGAAAAAAAAAATTAGGTGAAAAGACTATGTTTTAGACGTTGTTATAACCACCTATTTAAGCTAGAATAACATACACTAACTGAACTATGTATTCATTATGCGTAATTAAATTGCACAAAGCATGAAATGAAATTAAGGGGAAAAAAAAGAGATATAAGAATGTTGTTATTCTTTGAGCGATAATAGAGTAATTCGTTTGTCTATCTCAGGTAAAAGTATCTTAGGTGAATAGATACAGTTGACATGTAATAAACTGTTCCTGCTAGGGAAACACTAATTTTCTTATCTCTGCTTGGGTAGAGTGACGTCTTTCCATACGTTGCTGACGTGGAGAGGGTACCTGCAAAAAGCACTCTGATGCTGAAGTCAGGTCTCGGTTCTCAGCAGTAAATACTATTCAATAATTAAAAGTTAACCTTTTACATTACCTCTTACCTTCTTTTTATAGGAAATATTATAGGCTAACGGGCCTTATGGGTCAGCCCTGATCCTGATAATTAGGCTAATAATACTCTTGGTTATTATTTATTAATTTATAATTAACATGCTTTGCGAGGTACCCGTCCTTCGTATACCGAGTAGGTATTCGGTTTCCTCTTTCTACAAGTAAGACCGAGGAGAGTCTTATCTGGTACATAAACAAATAAAAAATAATTTTCATATAATTAAAGTACTGCCAAAGAAATTGATTATATTATTTGTTTATATCTTTTAATTTATCATTCTAAATTTATTCTAATTGTAATAATTAAAATTAAAACTCTGAATTACAATTCAAATTTCATGCACAAAATCAATATCAACATTTACACTTTTTTTTTCATTATAAAAGCTATATTTACTACCATTTTTAATATTTCTTGTTTTACATTTTCTTTGTTCTTTATTTTTTCCTTCTATTTCTTCTTTTTCTTCCAATATACCAATATATATATATATACTTATTTTAAAGTTAAGATTTATTATATATTATTTTCTTGATTATATTTCTATTGCATTTATACATTACTAAGCTTCACACAAATAAGTACTTACAACTAGCTAATACATCAAAGCAATAAAATTTCTAATTTAAAGATCAAAGAAGAAGAATTTTAAAATCAGAGTAATTGTACAAAATTAATTTCTCTAATCAAAGACTTCTAATTTACAATGAACAAAGCGGGAATCGCAATTTTACTTAAGCTTGTATGTGAATATGTAAATTAGTTTTTTGTCCTCTTTCTCTCTTTTTTTTTCTCTCCAAAAGTTATAAAATTAACACCCTCTCTTATTTTAGAAGATCCTCTCTACTTAAATTAAGAGAGACAAAATAAACTTAACAAATTTAAACTCTTTAGATATATAGTTGGGAGCCCAACCTAACAAGAGAGGGAAGGAGAAGTTGATACCAGACGATGGTCTCCAGTACCAATCCCCACAATAAGGTGTCATTCTATCATATAGCAAATTCCCCATGTCCAATCCGTTGCATAACCAAATCATAAACCCTAAATATCCTGAATCAAATTATAAGATCCAAACCATATTTTTCGTGTGTAAAGATTAGACTTGCAGTGTCTTTAGGTGTTGCAAGTATGTACATAGATCAATCATTACATTGCATATCCCTAATGCCATTGATGCATGTTACACTTTTCCCCAAATAAAATCGAGGAGCAAGTTGTTGAAGGTGTGGTCTGTACGCTTGATAAACGTGTGACTTCGTTATTAAGAGTGCAATCTTCGAACAAAACTAAAATGTACAACTTTTACTTTACAAGATAAACATTACCATGGTTCTCAGTCTCAAGTTTACTGAATCCTTTTATTACATCTGTCAAATCTATCACATCTATATCTCCGTCATAACCATGTGTTTATGAGGTATCTATTCCCAAGGGACAAACCATCAATGGTTTACACTCATATGCAGTAATTAATTTATAATAAATTTTCTATTTTTTTAAATCTAAAAATATTTTTTTTCATCAAGTTACATATTTTCGTTATTTTTGAAACGAAATTCTTATTGAAGCTAAGCTATTTACATGTAGAGGATGGGACATGCATTATTTTTTAGGATTTATTTAGAAGTTATATTTAAGAGGGAAAGGGAGAGGTTAGGAGAATTTAATTGTTGTTTAGGAATTAATTAATTTAAAAGAGAAGGGTGTGTAAATTTTCTCATTTAGAGGGTTTTTTAGTTTATTAGAATTTTTTTATATTAATTATTAAATGAATGAGATAGAAAAAATAAATATTTTTAAAAAATTTGATGTTAATTTTAAAAATAATAAGAAATTATTTTTAAAAAAAATATTAATTTTTAGAGTGAGAATTTTTTAAAATATAAAAAATAGAAATATGAATTTTAAAAATATTAATTTTTAAAAGGAGAAAATATATAATTTGTGTATTTTTTTTAAAATAATTAAAAATAATAACAATAAATTAATTTTTTTTAAAAATATATTAATTTTTAGAGTGATATTTTTAAAAAAATTATAAAAATTAGAAATATAATTTTTAAAATATATTTTGAGTGTTAGTTTTAAAATATATTAGTTTTTAAAAATATTAATTTCTAGAAGAAGAAAAATATTTAATTTTTATGTTTTTTAAAAATAAAAAATATAAATAAAAAATATAAAATGCAATGATATTATTTACATTATTAACTCTTTATCACCCTCTCCTTTCCATATTTAACATTCAAATAAGGGAAAAGTTTTAATCTCCCTTTCCCGCTACTCTTTCTCCCTTCAAACCCTTCACTTCTCTCCTCCTCTAAACTTTCAAACAAAGTCTTAGGTTCTCAAAATGTCTATGTACACAAATGAATTATTATATACATACATCATAAAAATTATTCATGCGTTATCTTTTTATTTCTAATGACATTAAATTCTATGGCTTCAAGTTCGTATGAATTGTGTGAAGCATTATTTAACGATTATTGTCGATCTTTATTTGCAAGTAACCATGCAAATTCTACCATATGTAGCTGCAAATCTAATTTGATTTGATACTTATTGTGTCCTTTATTTAAATATTTGTGTGTATATATATATATATATATATATATATATGATATTTTTGTCTTAATTATGTCTCAACTATATGAAGTGCTAAAGATAGATTTACAATCTTGCTTGATGTAAATATTTACTAAATCATTTAAAATGGGGCAAAACTTCATGTGGCATCACTTGTATAATTGTAGTACGTACATGTGCGCTAGAAACTTAAGTACTTTACCACAAAGTGACACTGCGAAGATTTTTTATTCACCATACTTACATTATTTAAGAAGTAAGCAAGAATTGGAGAAAAAGTAGGGGGAGGAGGAAACTAGTAAAAAAATCTGTCAAGGGAAGTAGCTTATACTACTACTGGCGAGGATACTATAAATGAGAAAAAGTGGGACATAGTGATTTATCAAGGATTATTTTGTTGCATACAAGTCTTGCCCTTTGCTCAAGTCTAGTTGACTTTGAATTATGTACATCACACATTTCTTTATAGCACACAAGTCTTGACCTAGTTTTAGGTTTAGCTGACTTGAAATATTGAACATGGTTGATAAGGAGACATCTATTCACAAGGGATGATCGTCAATGGCTAACAGTTTGTGTTTTATTAACATAAGTCAACGACAGTCACTTATCATGCTTGTCCTTCCAACCTGTTTTCACACCCAGAGAAGAAATGTAGTAGTTTATAAAGAAAATTTTTCTAATTTTTAATCAATTTGTAGATTCAATTTCTTTTATATTTGGGGAAAATTGTAACTATGAAACATTATTATTTATTTCTTATCATTTGCAATGGGTTATAGTAGAATGCGTAACTTTTTTTTATTTTATTGCTTTTTATGTTTAAAATGTATTCTTTTTCTTGGTCTTACAAAACTATTGAAGTAAATGTTCATGCTTACACGGTGTGAGTGTAAAAAATATTTTTATGAACATTATTGTATTAACACAAAATAATATTTATTTGATTTCTGTTTATTATTAATAGATATTTATTGTTTTCTAAATATTAAAAATAAATAACACTTATTTTCATAAGCAAAAACATTGATAAAATGTCTCAGTTGACTAGAAGTCCACGGCGATATTTTAGACACATTTCTTACAGATTCCTCAGTTTCAATATCCAAAAACACTTCCTAGGGAGTTACAGATGATTACCATGCTTAGCAGCAATCTCTCTCTCTTTTCTCTGGTCACCTTTCTCTGCATTTGTTTGTGTGTTGGAAATTTCCATGCAAAGAAGTGTGCTGAGACGGACAGGCTAGCTCTTCTTAAATTGAAAGACGGTTTCATTGATGAATTGAACTCCCTTAACTCATGGAATGGTGAAGATTGTTGCCAGTGGAAAGGAATTTCATGCGATAATTTAACTGCTTATGTAACCGACTTGAATCTCTCTGATTCCTTGCTTAAAGGTAAGCTGGATTCTTCAATATGTGAACTCAAACATCTCACTTTCTTTCATCTCAGTGATAATGAAGTAGAAGGAGTGATCCCAAATTGCATTGGCTCACTCGTTCAATTGATAGAGTTGAATCTTGGATATAATAAACTAGTTGGTGGCATTCCTCCAACTCTGGGGAACCTTTCAAACTTGGAAACTCTTTATCTTCCCTATAATTTCTTGCTTGCGAATGACCTTGAGTGGGTTTCTCGTCTTTCTACCTTGAAATACCTTGATCTGTCGCATGTGCATCTTAGTCAAAGTGCTGATTGGCTATCATCAATGAGTAAAATTCCTTCTCTGTCGGAGCTTCGTTTAGATGGTTGTGGGATTGGTCAAGTCATTCCTAAATCTATTCGCCATATTAATTCTTCCACTTCTCTCAAAACTCTCAGTCTTTCGAACAATCTGTTAAACTCTTCAACTCTGTCACTGGTGCTGAATGTCAGCAAAGTCCTCACATATCTTGATCTCTCCTCTAACTCTTTGCAGCATAATATTCCAGATGGATTTGTAAACATGGTTTCTCTTTCCCATCTACGATATCTATATCTCTCGGGTAACGAGCTTGAGGGTAACATACTAAAGTATGTTCCGACTTTTTTTCAGCTCACAGAGTTGCGATTGGATGGAAACAAATTGTCTGGCAAACCCGTTGACTACGTACGACAGTTGTGCTCTGCACAAGATGGTTTAGAGGTTTTGGTTCTCGGCAATAACCCGTTTAGTAGTGCACTATTTCCTGATTTTTCATGTTTTTCATTCTTGAAGACATTATCACTTCAATCTTCCAATATTACTGGGTCATTATCACAATCATTTAGTAAACTTGCCTTGCTAGAGGAATTGGATCTTTCCGACAATCATTTGAATGGGACACTTCCTTCTGCTGTTTGGCAACTTTCTAGTCTTAGGACGTTGGTTCTCTCTTCAAACGAGTTAAATGGTATCGATGTCAAGTCGCATCTGTCAAATCTATCACATCTATATCTCCGTGATAACCAACTAAGTGGATCACAACCCTTGTTTGAGATTAGTAAACTTGCCTCGTTAGAGGAATTGGATCTTTCCGATAATCAGTTGAATGGGACGCTTCCTTCTACTATTTGGCAACTTTCTAGTCTTCGGAGATTGGCGCTCTCTTCAAACAAGTTAATTGGCGTGGATGTCATTCATGAGTCGCTTTTGTCGAACTTATCATACCTTGACATCACAGATAACCAATTAAGTGGATCACAAACATTATTCGAGATTATTAAACTTGCCTCACTAGAGGAATTGTATCTTTCCAATAATCAGTTAAATGGGACACTTCCATGTAATATTGGGGGACTTTCTAATCTGACAACGTTGTATCTCTCCTCAAATAAGTTGAATGGTGTCGTTAATGAATCACATCTATCAAACCTGTCTCAATTGGAATATCTGAATGTGGCTGGAAATGCACTTACATTCAATTTTAATTCAAATTGGGTTCCACCGTTCCAACTCCATGGATTAGTTGCATCATCATGCATCTTGGGTCCTAAATTTCCAACATGGCTCAGAAACCAAATAGAACTCGGTGACTTGGATATCTCTAACAGTGGTATTTCAGATTCATTTCCTAATTGGTTTTGGAACCTGTCTTCAAGGTTGTCATACTTGAATGTTTCTCATAACAAAATTAGTGGAGCATTGCCCCTATCGTTACCAAGTACAAAAGGAAATAGTATGGACCGGTTTAGATGGGATTTGAGTTTCAACAATTTGTCCGGTCCATTGGCTCCATTCCCAGAACTAGATACTCTGTTACTCTCGAATAATATGTTTTCAGGGTTCATTACTTCTTTTTGTGCAACGCCACCAACGATGGTAACTATTCTCGACTTGTCTAGTAACTTACTAGCGGGGACACTTCCAGATTGCTGGGGGAAATTTCAAAGTTTAATTGTTCTAAATCTGGCAAAAAATAATTTATCAGGGAGAATACCCAAGTCATTTGCCACTTTACGACAAATTGAGTCGATTAATTTAAATAGCAACAACTTCTCTGGTGAAATTCCATCCATGTCCTCCTGCAGCAGTTTACAATTTATTGATTTTGGGAATAACAATCTCCAGGGAACATTGCCGGCATGGGCAGGCCATAACTTGCGCCAATTGATGGTGCTGCGTCTAGAGGCAAATAAATTCAATGGAAGCATACCCACAAGCCTCTGTAATCTTTTATATCTTCAAGTGTTGGATCTCTCTAACAATAATATTACGGGGGAAATTCCACAATGTCTCAGTCGCATAATTGTTCTGTCAAATGTGATGTTTTTAACCCCAACCTTTTCGCATGGAGGATTCGGTGCCATCCTCGGTGAAGAAATTTCCAGATTCCTTGACAAAGCAATGTTGGAATGGAAAGGACAAGACCAAGAATATGAGAAAAATCTAGGACTTATGACAATCATTGATCTTTCTTGCAACCAATTAACAGGAGAGATACCAAAAAGTATAACAACACTTGCGGCTTTAGCTGGCTTGAATCTCTCAAGAAATAATCTCACAGGATTCATTCCCGACAAAATTGGTCATATGAAAATGTTGGAATCACTTGACTTGTCAAGAAACCATCTTTATGGAAGAATGCCAACAAGCCTTTCAAATTTGACTTTTCTCAGTTACATGGACTTGTCTTTCAACAACTTGTCAGGGAAAATTCCTAAAAGCACTCAGTTACAAACCTTTGATGCCTCTGCTTATAAAGGAAATAGTGGACTTTGTGGTCCACCACTCCCAAATCGTTGTCTAGACGCTGTTTCACCAAATGGAAGCATCGATGAAAACAGTGTTGAAGAAGATGGAGACGAAGATGAACTCATAACCATTGGTTTTTACATCACCCTGGGGTTTGGATTTTGTGTTGGATTCTGGAGTGTTTGTGGAACTTTAATTATAAAAAGTTCATGGAGACGCGCCTATTTTCAGTTCTTTAACAACTTGAATGACTGGATATGTGTGACACTCGCTGTCTTTGTGGCTCGAATGAAACGGAAATTCCAAGTTCAAGACTAAAAAGGTAAAGTATTTGATTCATTTCCTGTGGTGCACTAATGTCAATTATGATCTACAGGCCAACTTTGTCTAAATAAAATTAATATCAATTAATAGCTTGCATACAACAATGGTAGTGGAGATAATGTTTTTTCTTCTTGAATATTTTGTAGGTGAAGCTCCATTTCAGAATGTTATATGTCATAATGCTTTGATTAATTTGGTAGAGAAAATTGTTTCATTTGGCAGATGCACCACTTCTAAGTGATTTTGTGATAAATTTTTTTTCTTGAGTCATCGTCTATATATTTTTTATTTTATTTTATATTAATATGTAAATTACTCAAATTTTTAATACTAGCCTACATGCAGAATGGAAAGTAACGTGACACTGAGTTATGATTACTATTTTGCAGAAGGGAGCACGTTGTTGAAATCTACTGGTTGGTCGTTGAAAAACTATTAGAGTTAAGCAATAGATCTCAGGATTTCAGATTGTCTTGGATTCCCAGAGAGTAATAACGGTTGCAAGTTAGATGGATGTTCCTTCACTTTTCCATGTTGTACTTTGTGTTTTTTGATCTTTTTGAAATTGCCTTTTTGATCAAAAGTAAAAAGATTATATGTTCCTTTGTGATTTGTGTTTCATTGTTGAGTATATTTCACGAGTTTTCCAAGTGAAGCTATAACTATATAAGTGAAAAAAACTAGGAACGAGCATTGCCCATTTTTCATCAGGACCTACTCTCATATAATACTAGAACTTGAAACCCAAAAAGTTTTGTTATTTTTTTCCTCATCATTTTCAACTCCAACTTCATGTTCTTCCTCCTCTGTTTGTTGGTTCTCCTTCAGCGACTAGTGAAAAAACAATGAATATTTTTTGTCAATAAAAAAAAAACTGAATTATTTGTCAATAAAAAGAATTATTATGACACGGTTAATTTATAGCTGTTGGCATTTTCATATTAAAAATGTCCTTTGCATGCAATTGAGGCATGATACTTGAATTAAAGTGGTGTTTGTAAGTTTCTTTAGAATTAAAATTACAAGTCTAATGTTTGAGTTCATGGAATGTATACCCTTAATTAAAGATTTTAAAATGGAATTAAAATTTAACTTAAAATTATAATTTACAGTAACTATTTACTCAATCTACACATAAAATTTATGATTCTAAACTGATTCTAATGGTAATAATTAAATTTAAAACTCTGAATTACAATTCAAATTTCATGCACAAATTTAATCTCAACGTTTCGACAAATTTTTTCATTATAATGCCATTTTTAGTATAGCTAGTTTTTTGTTTTCATTGGTCTTTATTTTTCCTTCCAAAAAATATATACATATATATAGACTTAGTATTTTTCCGTTAAATTGGGGTGACGAAATTAATTATATTTTGATTCATATAAAAAAATTAACGTCACAATAAAAAATTTGCAAAAAAAAAATGAAAAATTAGTAAAAAAAATTCACTTATAAGTTGGGATAACATTAACAAAAGTAGAAGGAAAAGGAATAATCTTCCTAAATTTTATTTTTTACATATTCACTCTAAACATCCTCCTATAAAAAAGAAAATGAAAAAAAAATTCTAACATTCTTTTAGTGATTTTTTTATTTTAAATTAATTTTTGTAAATTATTACGATCAAGGTTTCAATTGACAAATAAAGAGATAAAACAGAATAGAAAGATTTTTAATTTAAATTTTGTCCTTCAATGTATTTATTTTTCATTATTTTGGTACTCTAAAATGTTTTTAACGACAATTCTTGTTTTCTCTCTCTTATTTTAAAGGATCTTTTTTTCTATCATCTCGTATATCAACAATGAACAATACTCTTCTCATAATCCAATTTCAAATTAATAACTGCTTTTTTATATTTCTCATTTTTCTTCATTTTCATTTTAATTTTGCAATTCCTACTCTCCTTAGATCTTTTTCCAACTTTTCATAGTTGTGCATAACCTTGTTTCATGTCTCTCTTTTTTCTTTTGGAGTTTATGTGCGTGTGAAGTAGGAATAGCAATAGATAAGATACTATAGCACCTATCACCATATTAGTATTTTAAAAAAATGCATGTACTTGACCCCATACTTGCTTTGATAATAATTTTAATTCTTATACCTATATTAGCTGAGTACTCGCATATTTATGTCTGCACATATTATTTGTGGTTGTCTATAAAAAAAAACACTTATAAAGAAAAATATGTTTATATAACTTCACATAAATAGCATAATAATACAAAAATTCAATACAAAGTTCAAATATACTAACAAAGTTCAAATATAGATAAAAAATAAATATTCAAAAATCTTTTAAAACAACTTATAAAATTGAGAGTTTTGTACTACACTCTTCAAGACTACTAAAAAGACATTAGTTAGTTATTTATTATAAAGTCAAAATAATAAAAATTGTTAGGCTATTTTACCTTTTCATTAGAATCAAAGTCTCTAACTGACAACAAACGTTGATTTTTAAGTTTACATGTTGCTTTGGTCTAGTAATACTAATAGAAATCACACAATTACATAACAAGAAAATTAGTAATTAAGCTATCTAATTAAAACTAACACCATTTAATTGAATAAATATATTAATAGAGTTTCAACTAACTTTATACACATATAAGTGCCTCCAAGGTATCCTTATGAAGTTGAGAATGATGAGAACTCAACAATCTACCTCTTGTGATAAAAGTAGATTCTGAAGCGACAATTAAAATTGGGATGGTCAAAATATCCTTAACAATTTTTCGTAATATTAGATATTTGATCCCATTTGATTTCCATCACTCAAGGATATCAAAACTAACACCTTTAGGCAAGATCTTCTCTTCCAAGTAGAGATCCATTAGACTTTGATTGGATATCATTTGTGACATTAATAAATGAATCATAATCACTTAGAAAATTGTCAACATTAAGTATATTCAAATTCATTTCCATCTTATTGGACTTTTCGACGATTTATGATTGCTGCAACAAGTTTGAATGACGCTGATCCAGAGAATAAGAGTTGAGCAGAAAAGCTCATACTTGATGAACGGAATTTTTTTTTCGTTTGCAAAAATATTTGTCGTCAACCTTCATCAAAATATGCAGAAAAATTTATGTAGTCTAGGATGCAAGCCTAGGTTGTCTCTAATGACTTTGGTTTGTAACATACATTGAATATGTTATAAACATTTACTATAAAAGCAATTAAAATAAGGGGGTTTTATATAATTTCAATTTTTAATGTAAAGGCAAGTAATGAAATTAATAAGTCCAATCAATGAAATATACAATTCTTAGTTTGTTCATGTAATTCTATCTCTATCCCTCTCAAGATTCAATATTTTTCCTCTTCCTCTGAATTAGGGTAACTCAAAAAGCAAGAATTAACCTTAAAGTCTCATACGAATTAAGCAATTTACATGGGCTCCAACGCTCTTCCCCAAAATTACACAACCTTAGAAATTAACTTAGGATTAAGCAAACTAAATTAAGAATTTCACTAAACGAATTAGGGTTAATTAAGCAATGTCCCCCTCATTCAACCATTAATTCAATTCAAAGAGTTGGGAAATGTAAATTCATGAAGGAAAGGGAATTATATTGACATTTATACCCAAAAATTCAAGAATCCATGAACCCACTAAGGATTACAAAAAAGTTTAGCTCTCCATAAGGATGGGTCTTACAAATTCAAGATGAAAACAAGAAAAATTCAACATCATCAATGCAAGAATTAAAGGAAAATGAAGAGAAATTGTAAATCAAATCCTAAGATTGGCCTTGGCTGTCACCCAAGGATCCTAAGCTCTGCAAAATGCTCTCAAAGTGGCAAAAGAATCTAAAGTTATGTAAAAAGCTTCATACCCTAATTTCTTAAATCCTATTTATAGTGTAGAAATTTTTGCCTAAAGTAACTACTATAGTTTCATAGTGATAACACGCAGTGCTCCATAGTAGTTACTCTCGCTCCATAGTGGTTACGCGCAAGTCCTGTAATCTGGGCCTCTTTAGAGTTGTCACTTTGGTATCAGAGTGATAACTTTAGCTGCTCCAGAGTGTCTACTATGGTTTCAAAGTAAGCACGCGCAGCAATTCTTCAAAATGGGTCTCTATAGTTGTTACTATGGGTTCATAGTGATCACTTTAGTCTGTCCTTCTAGACTTAGCTTGCTATAGTGTTCACTATGGGACCCAAAGTGGTCACTTTCATCTCAAACTTTCTCAAATGGTGAAAATTCATGGAAAAAGTCTAGAAGTTCCTACACAATTATTCAAATAATCAAAATTACAAATTATATCCATGTAAATCAATGTAAATTAATCAAGAAATAAGAAACCTATGATATTTGACCAAAATGATGTTTTTATGTTATTTACACTTCTTAAGTTTACTTTTTCTATTAAGAACCATCAAAATGACAAGTAAAAATTCAATAAAATGTAGATTCATGAGTACTCTACAAAGACTAAGAGTGAATACATAACACTTTTTTTTTCTAATTTTTTAACCTAAAATTGAAAGAAAAAGAGAGAGAGAGAGAGAGAAAGATAGAGTACTTAAGTACATATAATCATACTTATTTCCATTAAAATTTACAGATATTTTTTCATACTCGTACTCGTTTAAAGGATAAATACCTTACATGTTGCAGGAAAAATAAAATTACAGGTACCTATCGAGTTTTTGCTCGTTATCATCCCTAGTATGAAGGTTTGAAATGACAGAATCAAAGCTAGATTAGTAATGCTAGCTCATGGAATTGTCACAACCAAAAAATGAGTCAATAATTGGCACAGACTAAATTACCTAGAAACACTACTTAACCTGACAAGCCTATTTAGAAACAAACAAACAAAACAATAAACATTTTTAATCAAGTAATACCACATTTTTGCCAAAATTTTGGCAGACTTTCTTTTGTATTTTTATTATCTCAAAATAAGGACACTTGTCAAGATTGATTTATAATTCAATCAAAGTCAATCAAACTCCAACATATTATAATATCAAAACTATAATATCTAATACATGTCCAAAATAAAAAGTCTAACTCATTAATGTCCAATATATATATATATATATATATATATATATATATATATATATATATATAAAACAAGGTAATCAAAACAAACGAAGGCTTATCAATAGAGATTCTACTAGGTTGGATTGATTTTTGATCCATTAAAATTGCAACTCTACTGTCTGATGATCTATAAATATTAAGTAAATAAAGAATGAGTCACACATACTCAATGAGAACATAATAACAATAATAAACATGAAAGGGAAACAAATATCACACGAGTAGTTCGCAATCATAGGAATTAATTAAAGCATATCATTTTTAACAAAAAATCATTCTAGTTACTCAAACAAAAGCCTCATCGTGCTCAAAAGTTTACAAATCTATACCATTAAGAAAAATATTATTTCAATCACAAATACTATAATAAAATACACATATACCAAATTAAATGATATTAGTTTTCTAAAAATATCATCAAAATAGACATCAATATAATGCTATAATGGTCACTCATGAGAGAACCAAATTCTAAGTCAATTCCACCTTATTGATAATCCTCTCCTTCCAAGGGTAGCTTCTCCCATAGGAG